AAATGATGGCATATATTTGATGTTTATGTTGTGGTCATATTTTGAACGATGACAAAATTTATAAAAATCCTGATTCCAAATTGAATTCAACCACATTTTCATGGTTCAGTTGGATTTGATTTCATGATTTTCATAATTTGATTTGATTTCATGATTCAATTTTATTTTAAATATTTTAGAATCATAAATAGTGATTAATTTTGGTTTACTTCAAAACTGAACCATACCCATACATACCTATTCTATTCTATTAAAATTTATATATATATATGTATAATTACTCCTTTAATTTTGAAAATTACATTTCACTCCTTAAATTTTCTAATCGCAAAATAAATAATCTCTTTCATTAATCAACCATTAAGTCAATTATTTTTTTTTAATTATGCCAATTAAAACATAAATTAAAACCATTCAGAACACAAATTAAATTCAAAACATAAACGGTACCCAACTTATTTCCTTACCACATTTTCAAGTTTCTCATAGACGTGACCAATTTCAGATCATAAACATAAACCCCCCACATTGTAATCCTCTTTTTAAGAAAATAACAATTATTAATAACAATTATGATAGTTAGAAATTTTATTTTATATGTCAATTCTGTTAAATGATAAACTCTAATAAAAAAATGTTTGTAATTTCTAAAATCACAAGTAAAAATATGTATTATAAGAAAATAACAAGCGGTGTATTTATAATTTATAAAGGATTTTCATTCAGGCAATTTAATCTAGAATACAGAAGAATGAAAGGAAGTGCCAAGATTTTTCAACTTGTGAATACCATCTTCTTTCATAAAAACAAAACATAAAAATGACAAGATAAAACAGTATGTATATAAATTTATACTTTTAAATTGTTAATCATATTTATGGTGTTTTGATGTTTAAGCAAGAAGAAGAAAGAGAGAAACAAGAAGATGAAGAACAAGAAAGCAAAAGCAAGTGTTTGTATAAGCGCTTCCTCAGCAAATAGCGGCTGGTTCAGCACCGACGGTAGCGAATACAATGAAGAGACTGAAAGCCTAGTTTCATCTTCCAGAAGTTCCTATTCCTCTTCCGACTTTGGTTGTCCATTACAGAGTATCAATGAGCGACCCATTAACGAATATAGAAGGAAGAACAAGAACAAGAAGAAGAAGAATTTAAAGGTTCGGAGAGACCATCTTTCCATTGTTTTTGTTTTTATTTTTGTTTTTGATTTAGTTGGTTCGTCACCAACTATCGGTGATGGGTTTACAAATGATTGGGCTTACTTTTCGGTGTCAATCTAATTGGAATCGATTAGTTTAGCTGTAATCTTCTCAGCACTCATCTTTCTTCATTGATGTATTTCTTACTTTATATGCTGGTTTTCATTTTTTTTTTGGCTGATAAAAACAAAGGTTCGGAGACTGAAACGTTACAATTCGGAGAGTTGGAGAGGAGGTGAGAAGACGAAGAAAACGATGTCGCCGGAAAGTGGGTCTCCGGCAATGGCGTCAGTTTTCAGGCGGTTGAAGGAGAGCTTTACGGTGGTGAAGAGGTCGGAGAACCCACATGAGGATTTCAAAGGGTCGATGTTGGAGATGATATTGGAGAAACATATGTTTGATGCTAAGGATTTGGAACAGTTGTTGATGTGTTTTCTGTCTCTTAACTCACCACACCATCACGCCACCATTGTTGAGGCCTTTGTGGAGGTTTGGGAAGTTTTGTTCTGTAAAACTCCTCCCAAGTCTCAACGTGTTTCTATGGGTCATTGAGGTCGAAGAAGATGATGGAATAGAATTTTTAATTCCTTATAAATAAATGGTATATTGTATATTGTTTTATTATTTGTCTGTGCTGGTTTTTGAGCTTCTGAGAAAGTTTTCAGTTTTTTATCTCTCAATAATTCAAACTTGTCTTCATGTGTTATGCATGTGCGACTAGTAAGAAAATGTTTTGGCTTGCTTTTCTTTAGTTATTCGGATCACATTTTACGAGCTAGGATCTCCCCTTGACTTTTACTTGATGGGTTATTCGATTTACTTTTAGATCTAATTTTGATAATCTAAATCGTTCACATTTTAGAATTTGTCAGGTTTATCATACTTATAAAAATCAAATTAATCGAATAACGGAAGAATTAAAAATCGTTTATTAAAAAAATTTAATAAATTGTCACGACTCCATTCCGTCTCTAGTAGAATGGTGTCATGATAGCTAGTAATTCGAGATTACCAAAGGCCAAGTTACAAAGTCACACACAATCAGAGTACACATATGGGGCTTACATGTGCAGCAACAATAAATTTAAATCTAAATAGTCCATAAGAGCTGTGCATAGATCAAATGAAATGACATACATACTAACATGGTTTTACAACTTAAATACAAATAAAACAAAGTATACGTTACATCTTGATCAAAAATTTCTCAAGCCGACATATACAAAAGAAATAAATTACAAAGTTAAGAAGCATAATCTTCAAGATACTAGCAAAACATGATTCCAAAAAACTTGCAAATAACATCTAGGCGTCACCGCCTTCTTATTCATCACCTACATATATATAAGGAGTGGGTGAGTTTGGATACTCAGTGAATGATATTAGTAATAAAAGTTTGAAGGAATGATATTCGAGATCTTTATCAAAACATTACATAGCATATCTTGTACAAATCAATGGATGAACCAAGTTCATCTATCAAGTTTTTCAAAATATTTATTAGCATCAATATAATACAAGGGATAATATTCCTGACAAAATAAGGGAATAATCGACTCGGAATCGATTAGACAAACCCATCCGTACAAAACCGTCGGTGGCAAGGGAGATATCTCAAACAAGGGTACTAGTTGCATTATAGTCCTCTAGCACTAAGGACTTTCCAAGAATGTCATCAAAATAAGATAATACTTGATACAAAACTATGAATAATCATTCATACTTGAACAAATACTTTTCCAAAACGAAACAAACAAAACTTTTATCAAAACATTAGAACATAGCTTTATTAAAAATACCTCACATACCTCTTCGGGTGCAGGGATTAAGACAAGAATCCAAGACCTAGAAATACATGAAAAGGTCGATTGAACGCATTTCAAGAAGACAAGAAGAGATACTCAAAGATGGTTGTACAATACATTCCTAAAACAAGTTTTACATGAGTGTAAATGATCCCAGCATTTCTTTCAAAACTAAGTCAAGACAAAGGAAACATGTGCTGGGAGTTAAAACACTGTTTTTCATCTCGAAAAAACATGCTGGGTACTAACCAGGTCTTGGCCGAGGTCCCACACCTCTTGGCCGAGGTGTGGTCCCGGTGACCACATTCAGGGAAATAAAGTCTGGAAAATCTGGGTTTCCTTTGAAGAACATAAAGAATATGAACATGAAGAACATGAATGCTAAAATCATAACTTCTTTATTCAAAATCTAAGATTTCATGATATGAGTTCAAAAACATAGACCTAGGTACCCGTACTTAAAGATCTTCTTGAAAACAAACACAAAACATGGAACTTGTTATAAACTTTCGGATCAAAACAAGTCTTTTCTTCAAGAACACATGAACATCATTTTCTCTTTCTAAAATAACTTTAAATCAATGCATGACTCATGAATCATGCCAGATCATGCAATGTGATCATATATATACAAAGAACAACCAGAGAAGATCAAGATTCTAACCTCAAAACACGGATCAATAGGTTCAAACTCTAAGGATCAAGCTTAGAAATCTACTTCTCTCTCAAGAACTTTTCATTCCTCTTCCTAAAGCTTCTCTCTCTACAAGGCTAGGATATGACAAAATGATATGGGTTTCTCAGCTAGCACCTGACTTAACCCTCTGCTGGGACACGTGGCAACGTCTGGTTAGGTTTCCTCAAAAGGTGACTGAATGACAAGACAAGAGCATGACAAATGGTGTATAACAAGTAAGGTGACAAGTGCACTCTGTCAAGGCAATGACTTCGGATCAAGACATAGGCTTCGGGCAAGAAGGTTTCGATGATCTTGGCTAGGAAGGATAACACTTGACCTAGCTGTGCCACACCTCGACCTAGATGTGCCACACCTCGGTCTAAGTCATACCAGTCCAGGAACAAGATCACTAGGTACAAGGATCAAAGATCTAAGACGCCTAGATGATGACATCTCGGCCAATATGCCAGGGTGAGGGTGAAGGTCAACCAAAGTGATTTCAAGATGGTCCTAGGTATAAGAGGTTCAAGGGTGTGACCTAGACTACACACACCAAGCAAGGAACATAGCATGCAAGCAACACTTAGGCAAATCAAGTCAAAGTCTACAAATGCAAGTTTAACAAGACAAAATTATGCAAATGCTCATGAACATGACTAAGACAAGAATGATGGTCATTACATAAATAGTTTTATTGTTTAACAAAACTTTTAGTTCACGTGATTTTTGATATTCGATCGACTTAATTTTTTACAAGTATGATATACAAGACAAATCCTAAAATGTGAACGGTTCGGATAATCAAAATTGGACCTAAAAGTGGACCCAATAACCCATCATGTAAGAAGTCAATGAGAGAATCCTTGCTCACATTTGACACCTGATATGGGTGTAATTGTTATTATTATTATTATTATTTATTTTTATTTTTATTTTATTAAGAGTAGTTAGTGCTTGTTTTTTTGGGTGAGTAAGTTAGTGCTTGTTTGGCATCACCTAAAAAAGACAAAAGGCCAAAAAATACTAAAAAAGCAAAAAAAAAAATTATACTATTCACAATGTTTGGGCGAGAACATGGGGCTGAGTACTCAGAGGGCAAAAAGACATTTTTGCCCTTCACTAACATACACAACACACGTTTGTTTAAGAAAAAAAGCAAGTCAAACACAAAACCAATGCAGCTCAGTGCACTGTCTCGGGAAGTGACAACTTCACTGACATGCACGAAAAGCATGTCAGTGCTCTAAATGGCAGGAAGGTAATTTTGGTATTTCATATAATATTTTAATACATATTTTTTTTCGTAAAAAATCTAAAAATTATCCCAAATAACCATATTTTTTTCTTTACTTTTTTAACTAAAAAGTTAAAAAATGCACTTATATAATTCATCATAAACAACTTCTTAGTATATAGAAACAGAAAAGTTGTTCAAAAAATTAATAGAGAATGATGTAAGATTTCTTCTTGCAACTACCACACCATTTTGTCAATATATATATATATATATATGAATACCATCACTTTTTTTTTAATGACATCGTGATATTTGATTATAATGAGACGGATTTTTTATGTCCTATCTCAACCTGTTTCTTGAGAGTTGTGAGGATAATCCAACACATGAAAGACAATGATTAACGAGTGATAAAAATTAGAAGTACTAAAGACACGAGAGAGAATGAAAAATGGAGCAAAATCAGAATAAAAATGCGACAAATTGTCATCCATAGCTGTGGACTCTCCATATTTAACTTTCAACAAATTTGCCTAACACATGAAGAACCAACCTCAATCTTATAGCTCCTGTTACAACTTCATTAAACTTCTCATGAACATCAGAAGGGCCACAACAATATAACTTTAACTTGTTAAATTGTTAATGCCCACAGTGACTGTAACAGCTCTGATAACGGTGATGATCAAAACTGCTTTGAGCATCCAAATGAGCCCCAACATTAATGTACACTCTCCAAAACACAACCTGTGTTTGAATCTTAAATTTGTACACTATTTTGAGCAGGAAAATCTTGTGTCCGTGTAGCAATGGTGTATGCAGAATACCAGAGCTGTAAATGCATTGTAACTATTTTAATGAGTCAATAGAAAGCAAAATGCTTAAATAATGCCCAAGTGCATAATGAAGATGTAAGGGTGTCAGGAAATTTCAAGATTTGTGGCAAACCAAGTGGGTAGTAGAAGGAAAATGATCGTCCAGAATTTTACAAAAGAAACCTTTCATTTAATGATCTAATTTCTCATGCATACAACACAGCACCAAGCCGAATCAATTGAGACACTAACAAGAAAAAAGATTGACTCAGACAAAGATGGTTAATTTAATGTACCCAAATTACATCATAGCTACCAGAAGTCTTTATGTGAAGCGAGACCTCTGCAAGCATCGAAGGTTTTTCTAGTTGAATGTTTGAGCATCAAAACAGCTTTTAATAACTAAGGATGTTAATGTACACGGAGTAACTGCCTCAGGTTTTAGGCTTTATTTCCTATTTTAACTTTTAGAATCTGGAGAAGCCACACTATCCTCAAAAAATTTGACGTGACAGAGCACCCCACCTGCTTCATCAGCAAAAGTGATTTTCCTTCTCTCCTTGTGGATTCCATTCCCCGGAGCAATATCATCCTTCTCATTCAATCTCTGCAGGAGACAGATCAGAACGTGACCAAAGTCATAACAATGCTAACAACACTGCCTCAAGTAAATTAATCCTTTTATCAAAATCAAAACTCAATTTCTTTATTTATACTTTGAAGAGTAAGGTAGGACATGAGAAACAAACCACGAGTTTACAAAAACGGTTGCAGTCCCTCGCCATCATGGATAGCCACTTCTTTGTTGTTTCTTCAACTTTTGTTGCACTCTTGATGGCCGTTTTCACCTGTCAAAAAAACTATCAAACATAACTGCATATTTCTATGCTAGGATGAATGCAATCACGCACATTGTACACAAATGATGTAAGGGAGAAATTATAAACCATTTAGAAAAACAAAAGTATATTAACAACAGGCATTGAGGAATTTCTGATACTCAACTGAACAGTTGGTGACAAAAGTAATTACATAATTTGTTAGGACCTGATGAATCTCATGAACAGGAGTTTAAAACACCTAGAAGCATGCTACAAAAATCAGTTAACCAATTATTACTGGGTAACAGAAATTTAGAGGGGAAAAGATGCTAAAAGTTTTAATTCAATCAAACCAGATATATAATATAAAAATGAGACTTTTACTCATTACTTAATTAAAACCAGTGAGATGCCTGCTGTGTATATTCACATACCTGATCCACATCATATTTCAACAATGTAGTAGGAGACGCTTCAGAGTGCAGATTTCCTTCTACAATGTCCTTCATGGAATTCAGCTCCTGCATTAGCTTCATTGCGAGACGTTCAATACCATGCATCTGCCGTTCTGAGAATGCAATGGCACTCTCAGAACAATTTTGGATTGATGTTGCCCTAGTGCTAACATGAGGTGGGGAACGAGAAAGATGGGGACCCTTCCGAATGCCATTAGGTGGAGAACCTTTTCTATCATTCTTCAGTTTCTTAGTGATCTTCTGGGGGCTTGTAGTGCCCTTGGCTCTACTGACATCCCCCAGCCCTTCAAGATTCACATTTACTTTGGCACCCTCAGCATGTAGTCCTACTGGTGAAGCATTATTTTCAGCTTCTTTACCAAGCTGGAGTTTCTCCTTGCACTCTGATAATTACAACATACAAGAAACAATTAGAGAGAATGTTGGAGCATGCAAAATTAAAACAGCAAAAATTGGTAGCAGCCAAGATTTAGAGCCAAAAGGTAAAAAGATGGTGATAACAAAGGTTGTTAAAATCGAGATCCTAAGTGGGATCGTTGGAAGGAACTCATGGATCAGATCGTAAAATCGGATCGAGAATTGTAAGATTCTATTTTCAATGCAAAATAAAATGAAAAATTATCGATAATGATAATATATGTTAATTTTAAAAATATTAAAGAAAAACAACAAATTTGATATAATGCATCTTTTATGTTAATATCAATTAGAAGAGACATTTGAAAAGTGTTTATAGTCAATTTTTTTATATAGATATACACATATACATACATATATATAAGAAATAAATAACAAAAAAAAAAATTGTTAGGATCGCGATCGTAGTAGATTCTACATGATTTTATGAATAGTATTGTAGTAACTTTAAGATCCTATTAAATTTAAGATCCTAGTGTGATCCGGATCGTTTGGCACAACTAAAATCGTAGAACTGCAAGATCCTACGATCCAGATCGAGATTCTGATAACTATGGTGATGACACAAAATTACCAAAATCACAAGAACCATAAAGCTGAAAATTTTCCATCCATCCTAAAATTTTAGATTTTTATTGAGCTTTTAATAAGACAAATAGGCAAAATATAAAGGAAATGAAAGGCAAAATATACTTTTTTCAGCTGTGTTACAGGCAGAAAGTATTCATTTCACACTATATAATTGTTGCTGCCTATAGAGGCGCACCCCAAATCAATTGATAAAGCTCAAAACCAATATGTCATATCAAACATAGATAATTCTAGCAAGGGTGCACCTCAAACCCATGAATACAAAAAGCAGTCCATCTGCTACCAATCCTAATAATTGATTTCTCCCTTGCACAAGTAAAGGTTTAGAACAGAAATCATAATCTCTTAAATCTTGCTTTGACTCTGGTTGTCATCTAACTAACATGGTCTCAGGTGTAATGCATGTAAGTGACACAACAATGTTGCCAACCAAACCATTTTACAACATGAGGAACCCATAAATATAACTCCACTGACTTACTGTAATGATCCAAATCTTCATGTAACTCCACACCTTTCATAGCCTGACATAGCTTTTCCTGAGAAGTTGGTGAAATGGCCTGAAAAGGGAAAGCACTTACTGAAAAAAACTTCTCAGAACAAAACATAAAACCAAATCAACATCAAATACCAAACTTCTTACCTTTCTAGTTGAGAGGAGCCTCTCAGGAGGATGCATCTTCTCCAAATGATGATAGTTCTTCATCTCTGTCACTGAGAGCTCATGGGCACCATCAAAATGATGGTTTCTATTGGTTGAATTGCTTTCTGCATCGTCTGGGGCAGATCTTGGAGGCTGCTTCTCCTCAATTATAGTTGAACCACCCTCAAAAGCAACTGGAATTTCATCAGGATTCAGACAGCTTCTCACTGCATCAGTACTGACAGAAGTTACAGGTGGCTTCTCAGTTGCAGGTAGATCATCCTCCACAGAAACCAAAACAATTTCAGGACTTAAACAAGGATTCGAATTCCAAGATGAACTACAATTACTCAAGGGGCTACTTTGAGAATCATTTACGAGATTTAGAGGAAAATTTTCATTAATGTCATTCTCAAACTTGCATGGATCACCTGCACTATATAGTTCCATGCGAAATAGGCTGTTATCCATTGCCATTTCAGGCACTTGAACTCCAGAGATACCACTTGTCTGCCTTGATATCTCATGCACAGAGGAACAATTTGGGGAGTTATTACTCATATCTGAACTTTGATCCATGACAGGAAAGATTGTTTCTGGAGAACTTTCTTCAAGATGTGGATGCTCAATATATCCTTCCTTATCTTCTGATGTGGGCAAAACTGGAGACAGTTGAAAGGACTTTTCGAGGTTATCCACCTCCATGGTCTCTCCACCAATTGAAGGAAGAACAAAGGTAGGTTCAATAGGATCCAAAAAATCACAGGAAACTTCATTAACAACACAACTTTGGCACTCTTCTGCTAAGGATATTTGTTTCCCAGACTCAGACACAATTCTAACAGCATCGCTAATTTCACCAGATACCTTTCCAGATAACCCCACCAGCTCACTACAACCAATAGAAAGATCATCAGCAACACAAATCATATTTCTGCATTCTGTGTAATCTGTTTCAGAAACCTCAGCTTTAATGTGAATAGGTGAAGAAGAATACCCACTAGATTGCAGGGAATCTTCAGCACTCAGAAACTGATCAGATTTGACTGAAACCGCAGTTTGAGAAGATGAAGCACATTTTTTGGCACGCTTCCTTTTACCCTTCAAATTATTTGGAAGCTTTGATTTCCAAATACTGATAGGTTCCTCAAGATCACATTCGTCTTCTTCTGGTTGCCAATCAGTATAATATTGGTTCCGAGTCAAACAAGTAGAATGCAAAACTTTCCTTTTCTTAGTTTTGCACTGCTCCTTGAGCTGTTGCAATGTCATTTTCACAAAGAGAAGATCATCTGAAACACTGTCTTCTCCATCATCATCAGAATTGTAATTAAATTCATCAGAGTTAATGTCTCTTTTCTTTGTTTTCCTTTCCACCACAACCAGACATGGGCTTTCGGTTTTGGCTGTGTCACACTCAAACACCATATCTGCAGTATCTTGTGATTGAAGAGTTGAAAAACTGTTGAGTTTTTTGGCATCTCCACTCTCATATATATCCTTCAACGTCTTGAACACAAGAGCTGGCCTTCCATGAGAATTTACATTACAGATACTTTTAACCAAACCAGCCTTTATAGCTTTGATAAAATGCAAATGAGTGCAACTCCTTAGCTTCATCGTTGAAAATAAACTTGCGTTCCCCTGCCTATTTCATGGATATAAAGCAGCACCAAAAAATGCTCACTCTGCAGTAGAAATCAACTTCAATTCTAAACTGTAGCACCAAGTCTGACCAGAAATTAAAATTTAATTAGCATTGATTGGTAAATAGATAGATTCACCAGCTAATATATATATATATAGAGAGAGAGAGAGAGGGAGAGCTTTAGCATTTTTTCTGTGGATACAACTGATATAATTGAGCTTGACATCCGTAAAGAAAAAAAAAAAACACTACAAAAAAAAAATGTCAAAAACCAACCTAAGTATGTATGCTTACATGTAGGAGTGTGGCTTGAGCCTAACACATACATATCCAAAGCCATCACCGATAGAACAACTTAAGGAACCTTCCATTATGTATTTCGTGAAGTACATTACAAACATGTTAACTTAATAACTCCTATTTGCATGCAACACAGACAGACTTTACATGATAGATTGCCAGAGATAGGGTTGGCTAACTTTGAGAGAAAAGTAGGGAGAACCAGTACAACTAATATGCAGATCTAAAAGCATCCACGAGAGCCTGACTACTTCACCCATTCAGCCATAAAATCTAGCTTCAAAGCTTTGAATGCATCTCCTGCAACCTTGCCTAACCCTCGCCAAAATAGTTTTGTTCTGCAGTACCTCGCCACCACAGACAGGTACTGTTCAGTTGCCTGACAATTTTCATGGCTAGTAGCTCTCCCTTATTTCTCTCCTTGGTGTCAATTTATGTGTTTCATTGAGCTCTCTGCCAAGTGCCCTTCACCAGCACATATGGAAAATCTCAAATTCTGGAGCAGCCAGCGTTATTAAAGGCGCGCCTAGGTGTTGCGCCTTGTAGTGTTTTAGGCCATGCGACTTCGATAAGGCGCGCCTAGGCATGCGCCTAGGCCGGAACCCTGTCCAGCCCAAAATTTGTACCTTGTAGTGTTCTAAGCCAGGCGACTATGACAAGGCGCCTGACTGACCCAAGGCTTGCGTCCTGAGAGTTTTTTTTATTGTTACTTTAATTAGTTTTGTTTAAAATCTGACCATTGATTTAATATGGTGCAACTACAGAAGATCCCTTCTCCTATTACAGATACCAATACATTGGGCATTCAAACTTCAAATCAATGATAGAAAAAAAATTAACCCTAATTCCTAATATCCAAAAAATACTAAAATGTTTAACATTTCATTTTATTTATGTTAAACTCAAAATTATTTACTTATATTAAGGCCTTGTTTGGCAAGTGATGATTTTAGCCAAAAACCAAAAAGTTACTAAAAAAAACCAAAAAACCAACAACCTATACCAAAAAGTCAAAAATTTCTCTCTCTACTTTTTGCACATCTTTTCGTAAAAAATAAAAAAGTCATCTCAAATATACTAGTTTTTTTTAACTCAGTTTAGCCAAAAAGTTACTAAAAAAGTATGTTTCCAAACGAGGCCTAAATTATATATTTTTTTCCGTACAAGGTGCGCCTCACCTTGCGCCTTGAGCCTAGGCCCCAGGAGACCTTGGCGCCTCGGTGCGCCTATCACCTCTAATAACACTGGGAGCAACTTCATCCCTTTCTCAAGCTCTTGCTTATTTATCTGTCTGCATCGCAAGTCATATTTGTTCTATTTCTTTTATGGCATGATTGGTTGATGAGAGAATGGGGATGAAAGAAAATTTATTGATTGCCGCTGATTTTATTTTATTTTTTTCTTGCAATAAAAAGGAGTAATGCATGTCTATTTATTTTGCACACCATATGTTTGTTATTTTTTCAATTTTGATTGGGTTGATTTTCTCATTCCTAAGATGACTTATTTTGTCTCACACAATCACACTAAAATCTTGAATTATGAATTTAATAAAATTCAAATAGTCTGAAGGTCTCTTAGGCTGGTTTATGTTTATTTTTACTCTGGATTGAGCTTCCATATAAAGGAAACATGTTTATGTAGATGCACAACCAAACCAATTGTCCTAAAGTTGCAGTATTGTAGCAACTCGTAAAAGTGTGTGAATTGCCATTGCTAAGTTGCTATGACCATTCCTTTGGCAACTTTGCACAAGAGACATGACCCCTAGAGATGCTTCTATGGAGTTTTATTACCTTCAAAGGCCAGCAGAGAAAGGGTAAACCTACTAGTTGCTAAATATTTGAATTTTACTATCAGTCAGTTGATAGAAAGTGCTCTGATTATAAAAACTTTTCATGTGGAACAACAACTTGCTAGTGTCCCTTAATTTATCCCTTTTCAAAATCAGCCAAGTTCTAACTGATCTAAACAAACCAAGGAAGCAAAGCAGCAGCAACAACAACTTGCTAGTGGGTGCTACAACAAAGAATGGAATGGAAGCAAATATATTTGTATTTATAAAATAAAGAATGGATGCAAGAATATTGAAAAAGTGGCTCGCTAAAATAGAAAAGTGAAATTTTGGATAGCTATTTTGTCTACCCTTGCAGTGGATGCTCTAAAACATTTCACGTTGGTAACAAATTACAAGAATGATGAGAATGAAAAATACTTCTGCAATCCAGTTTATAAATACACCAAAAACAATGAATACCTTTTAAAAAGTGTGTATATATATATATATATATGTAACCAAACACAGAAGAAAATAAATAAATAAATAAACCCTCACAATGACAGTGAATGAATGAAATGTGTTTTTACAAAGAATCTAAGAACAGATATTCAATCACAGATTGCATATAAAAGCCCTTCTAACAAACTATAACTATAACCAAAACCAAGTTAATTAAACAATACAAAGCATTGGGAATATTTCCCTTTTTATGTTCTCTTTTGTGTGTGCATCTCTTTTGATGGGTTTTAATTTCATTCATTAAACGAGCAAACAAGAATGATTGAGAAATAAAAGTAAAGAAAAAGAGTTTCCAGTGCTATAGAATAAGGATGGAAAATGCAATAAATGTTCACTTCCAGTTCCAGAATCCTTCAAAAGGAAAAAATTACAATGGGCATAACATCTTCGCGGCTGAAAAAATAAAATAAAATAACTAGGCCTTAACTAGTCATTAAGCATCTCCCATCCTTCACTTTTTCTTTCATCAAATTTAAATTTGATGAAAAAGTGCTCCAAAATCATCTCCAATCCTTTCATCAAATGATCATCAAATCAAGGAAAAGTCACTTTTCTCATCAAATTGCGAATTCATCAAATTTGAATTTGATGAAAAAAGATGAAGCATTGGGGGGATATTTTTTTAGGGAAATTTGGGATAAGAGGATGATTTTAAAAAGACTTTGATGAAAAGATTGGAGTAGTTCATATCAAATCAAGCTTTTTACTCAAATTTGAAATCAAATTAGATGAAAAAATGGGTAAAGGTTTGGAGATTCTCTAAAACAAGGCCTTAATTCAAATCGATGGAAATTACTAACCAAATATCCAAGTCCAACCCACCCAAAAAATCCAAGTCCACGACCTGATTCATAATTGGAAATAAACTCAACAAAAAACCAAATAAAACCCTGATGCAGTAAAACCCTTGTCTCATATAATAGCCAAAAAGAAAACCCAAACAGCGATCTGAGAAATCGATAGAAGAACTGCAAATAAAACCCTAATTAAGAAGATCTTCACTCAAATGGGATGAAAAATAAAGAAAATAAAGTAACAAAATTAATCAGTGATGTGCAGATGTAACTAAAAAACTCGTATTGGGCTCACCTCAGATTGAATCCTCTGTTCCACCACGAACGAGCAAGCGAGCGAAGGAGGAGTGGGTAGTGAGAGATGGTGAGATGTAGATTAGTAGAGGGGCTTGAGAGAGAGAGAGAGAGGAATAGGTTAGAGATCTGGCGCCAAATGCTTTGGCGGGAATTAGGGTTTTGTATTCTAAATGGGAGGGAGTATAAACTTGGGTGTGCTCGTCTTATGATTTCGCACACGCAGCACCATCACAAAGCTCTAACTCTATGTTTGGGAGGGCCTCATTGACATTTTTGAAATCATTATTTTGTATTCCAAAAAATAATCTGCTAAGGGTTATTTAGAATTATCTAAATAAATATATTTTTTAAATTTTTATGAAAATATGTGTAGAAATGCGTTTATCTAAATAATGTACTTATTTAGTTTATACCAAATAGTATTTAAAATAAGGTCATGGCTTCTGTCCAGTCCGATATTGGACCGTGTTGTTGGGCCCGTGGGGGCCCACCACGGGTCCCGTTTTGATAATCTGAACCGTTCAATGTGTAGAACTCGTCGAATACTATATGCATGTAAAAAATCACGTTGATCGGATATCGATAGCTATATGAACAAAACAGTTTTTTATCAACCGTTAATTTTTTCACCGTCTATTTTTTTATACAAAACTGATTTGATCACATAGCTATCGATATCCAATCAACGTGATTTTTTGCAAACATGTAGTACTCGACGAGTTCTACACATTGAACGGTTTAGATTTTCAAAACAGGACCCGTGATAGGCCCCCACGGGCCCAACAACACGGCTATCGATAGCTATATGAACAAAACAGTTTTTTATCAACCGTTAATTTTTTCACCGTCTATTTTTTTTATACAAAACTGATTTGATCACATAGCTATCGATATCCAATCAACGTGATTTTTTGCAAACATGTAGTACTCGACGAGTTCTACACATTGAACGGTTTAGATTTTCAAAACGGGACCCGTGGTAGGCCCCCACGGGCCCAACAACACGGCCCAATCCGATCCCGGATTGGACAGAAGCCGGACCCTAAAATAAAGGCTATGCACCAAATAAAAACGCAATAAATTCAATTTTAAAAATTTTATGTTAAATCTATTATTATTGTTTTTTTTTTAAAGTTAGTATTGATACTAAAATTCAGGAATCTTCCATCGACAGAGCATAACGATGACGTGGCAAGCATGATGTGACAAGATTAGCTAAAATAGCCGACGTGGCATAAAGCTGGGTTGAAGAACGAAGGATACGAAAGATGATAGTCGAGAATTAAGGAAGAAATCAAAAACAGTTCCTAAATGTGGGAATAAACATTAAGAGAGGCAAAGAATGATCAGAACCAAGAGTTAAGCCAGGAGTCAAGTATAAAAGAGAACTGGAATGCAGAAGAAAGATCATCAACAACCATTAATCATACTCGTGAAGAATTATTTAAGAGTAGTTCTAAATTAGTCATTTTAGGAGTAGATTAGAAATAACTTTTTCCCCATTTCTCTTCTTTCCGTCAGTTGATGTATTTTTCAGTTCTTTGTTCTTGTTTGAGTTCCTGTAACTGATAGCAAGTAACAATCTAATTGAATAAATATATATTCTTTTCTGTTCAAATCCTTATTTACTTAATTACCTCCAGGGAAGTCCTTAATCTGTTTATGACATAGAACTCAAGCACAAAGCATGATTTTTATTTGTGTTTACTTGAAATTTATTTAAATTTGTCGATCAATCACTATCAATTGGGCTTGAACTAAATTTTTGCTAACTTAAATTGGCACGCCCAGTTGGACCACTCCAACTTGGAGTAATGGTAAAGAAGAAGACTGAAAAAACTAAGACTACTAACGCCAACAAGAAAGTTGCTAACGAATCAGGCCTTCATGGAGATCTAATTAAGAGGCCTGCTAAAGATACAGATGTCCCTACTGGCTTTCCTGAGTTCAGGGAAGACATGGAGGTCATTGCAGATAGCTAATCAGTAGCAGCCAAGTATGGGGCAGGATTAAAGGATGGTTAGGACCCAACCAATGGAGGCCAATATCATAGCCTAGCAGTTGAACAGATAGAGGAGATGATTGCCTATCTTGGCCAAACCTTCGAAATGAGACCAGCACACCTCACAGAAAGTATAAAGGCCAAGCTCAAGATGCTTAGAGGATTCAACCCTACTGTAGCTCGGCTTTTTCGCGCCCCCTCTCGAAAGGTTTAAAAGAAAGCCCTACAGTTCAGACTCCCGTGATTCTGAATTTAATCTCACAAGTGCAATATTAAATTGATAAACACCAAAGAGTCCAAATTCGACAAATCATTTTGGAAAATCGATTTTGAATCAAAAAGTGCCAAAATTGGATTGCTTTGCTAGATACAGAATTGCTACCTAAATATTTTATTTTGGGAAAATCTAGGAAACTCAGGACTCGTGCCAAAGGCCACGTGTCCGTCATCACCAAAGTTGCCTCGGCTCGGGAACTTGGGTACGAGAGGGGAAGGTCATGAATTGAGTACCCCCGCTTGCCCGATCAAAGATTGGCCTCTACTAATCATGATATAAGTTTTTATAAACATTATGTGTTCGTATTTCGGTTATTAAACTAGCATTACTATATGATGTGCACAAGCACTTATAGACTAGTTTGCTCAATTTGAAACAATTCAACTCATGTGTTGTTTGCGAAAATAGTTTGAATTTGCTACCTCAAGTGGGCTTAAAGATGCGGATTTGCCACCAAACATGGTGGGCTTAAAACATGATTTGTCACTCAACAAAGTAGGCTTAAAACATTCATTCGTTGACTCGTTCCAATTCAAACAACAAGCCTTCATCCATAGGTATTCAAGAAGTTTAGCATTTAAGCACATAGCCTCATGGCAAGCATGCGAAACATGGCAACATGGCAATCACACTCATGCAAGTATGCTAAAGCATAAAAAATTTACCGAGTACTCCAAGCCAAAACAGAAACTAGTTAGAAAGATGCATGATCATAACTATGCAAAATGCCTAATACAACACATGGCATGTGAATTGATTAAATAATATGCGATTAAACACGTATTCAATGAAGTATTGAAATGACAATGCAGTTAGAATGATGCGCCGAGCCTCGGTGTATGCAATACGAATGAATGGATGCAAGCATAAAGTATGCTAATTGAAATATGTCCCTAATCTAACCATTGAAAGCGATTAAATAAAAAGAAGAAAAATGTGGGGTTGGAAGACATACACACACGCACGCACACTTATTACAACATTACGCCCTCGCGAATGAGCGTCCGAATGAATAAGCTAACTAGCTAAGCTAAGCTATTTAAGCTAATTAGACTAACTATTACAACACTTAAAATGAATCCTAACTATCTAAGCTAATTAAAATAAATTAACTAGGCTAAGCTAATTAAATATTATAGCATCAACTAATTAGCTACAACTAATTAGACTAATTAAATATTACAACACAATTTGCTATGGTAATGAAACAATTAAATAACAACGCATTTGATATAGATGTCAAGGAAAATGGATGGAGGTTGAATGTGCATCGCTTGAAAGCTGCTCTGTCTGCCTCAGACTGCCTCTATTTCACCTTCAGCCACTGCCTCTGTTTCTGCAAAACTGTACTGCTGGCCACACACCAAGGGCCGGCCGTGCCTTGCTAATGGCCGGCCAGGCCTACAGAGAGCCGGTCATTCATTGATTTGGTGTAAACTCTGCTTCTGCAAAATTGCACTGTTGGCCACACGCCAAGGGTCGGTCTTGCTTTATTGATGGCCGACTGTGCCTTTAGAGGGCCGGTCGTGCCTTCAGAGGGCCGGTCGTGCATTGATTTGGTGCAAACTCTACTTCTGTGCTCTGAGGTGAAATCAGTGCAGATAGAGCATTTTCAAGCTTTGTTTATCCTTCCTTCCTTCTCTGTCACAGGAAAACCTCAAGAGAAGGTTAAGATTGATTCAAAAACCATCAATGAGCGATATGATCGCTTGATGATCTCGAATATCAATTTTGGACAACAGTTAATGAATGTAATGCAAATGGACCACCTCTCCCTTTTGTCATGGAATGAACTCAAAAAAGGAAAGTCGCAACGCTTCAAGGACATCAAAAACACCATGAATTAATTCTTGATGACCCTTAACACAAGGAACTTGGCATAACGTCCGGTCAAGTTCAAGTTATTTAAACCATTTTTTGTTTAGGTGTGTTGATCCAAATTTTAAACCAATTGTTTTAGGCCTTGCTATTCATTAATCCGTTTGTCCAAATGTGATGCTAAGTCCTCTAAACAAGAAGTGATGTCAAACAAGAGGTCCTCCCAAAACATGAGAAGGAGACTACACCGTTGACGATGAATCTCCGAAGAGATTAAGCCATTAAGTGTAGGTCTCCCTTACATGCATTGAGCAACCTTAATTGGTTGAAATCATTCTCATGAATGAAAGATATGGATTGATTGATTGATTGATTAGCACATTTAAGTCCCAAAGCATGTAAAATGAACCAAGAAAGCATAGAAAGCATATTAAACAACAAGTATGCCAACTATGAGACCTCAAGTGTATCTAACAAGGTATGAACCAATTGGAAAAGCTTAGACAACCTCAAAACAGTCATAAATACATGCCAATCAGAGGTGAAATATGCATGAAAATGGTTTAAAAAGCTAGACAACAAAGATGAGCATTAAGGCTAGTAAATAAGGGTGAGGAGGGGTGGCTAACCCCTCCATTTTTGAAGCTTCAAAACATGGTTTTAAGCCTTTTTAAACCTCTGAAAATCAGAATGAATACCAAGGAAAAAGAGTGAAAATGAGAAGAGTTTGAGTTATGAATAAAGGTGTAGAGAGAGCAAGCTCTCTCTACACTTTTGGTAATTCTTCAAACCCAACTCCAACACTTCAAACAAACTCAAACACAACCAAAACAGTAAGAATGATGAGGTAACGGATAGAAATGAAAGCAAGAAAAAAGAGAGCAAGCTTATACCTTCCAAGAAGCAAGCTTGTTCTTGAAACTCCAAACTTGGTTTCAATGCAATCTCAAGCTTGAATTACACTTCCTCAAGATCAACCAAGGCTTTGGGTGGTAAGACAAGGTTGTATATGGTGTGTAGTGGCGATGTAAGCAAGCCAGGTTGGCTTCAAGGTAACTTACAATGGAAGAAGGAGGTGTAAAGGGGCTTCAAGGTGTATATATCTCTTCTTGATATTTTTTCAACCCTCAAAACAATCCC